CCTCCATCCAGGTCTAGTAAGGTGAGCATCCAAACTGCCTAGGCTCCCACAAAGCCAGTACGTGCAGTAGGATCAAAAATCCATTGCCATTGTTCTTGAGGTTTCAGTAGTCCTCATTGTCCGCTATGTTCAGCGAGTCCGGTTTTATCCCAGGCTTTTTCAGACCCAAGCCATCCACCTCCCATTCTTGTGGCCCTCATAGAAACAATGTATGAAATAAAATTGAAGACATCCTTCATTTGCATGCCAAATTCCTCTCTGCCCCCCCCCCCAGTACCTTAGCCCCTTACTCACATGGCAAGACACAGGAAAGTCATGCACTAGGTATTCTGACCACCCAGATAACAGCACCAATAGATAATTCGGTGCTCCTTCCAACATGAGGCCCAGCAAGGCAATCCTGCTTTGACGCTCAAAGCTGATAGGTCCCACTTATCTGATCAGAACTTTCAGTTCTGTCTTTAAATTTCCCATCCTTGTCAGGAGCATATAGCCAAGTTTTGTATCTGAGGAAGGGCTCTAACATGGGAGCATGAAACTAAACATCAAATAGAAGACAGGAACTTGGCAAAAGCAAAAGCTATATAAGGAAGCAAAACTTCACCAAACAAAAATCTATAATTCATATTACTATTCTTAAGAGAATGAAGAATATCCATCGAACAAGAACAAGATAATATATCCCTTGTTTCATTTTTTGAGACAGGATTCTTTGTGTAGCCCTGGCTGTCCTTAAACTAGATCTGTAGACCAGCCTGGGCTTAGACAAGTACCACAGAATAAAGACAGCTCTGGATTGCTAGAGTTTTAGAAGGTTAATTTTCTCACACACCCTTCCTCAGGAAATGACTGGAGGTTGTGGTCTACAACAAGCAGATGATAACGCAAGGACTAGACAGTCATTAGATACAGAATACACAAGTTCCTCTCACAGAAGGGCTGAAAGAATCCGAAGGGGGTGGTAATGGTGAGAGCAGCTGTCCACCCCATAAAGACCAAGTCGTCAGGATTGCAGAAGCAGATACTTGGACTCTCACCACCAGGACTCTACTGCTGTCGACCTGTTTTGTTTTGTTCTGTTCTGTTTTTCTCAGATCTGAGGTCAGGATTCCCTGGTGAGTCTGGCTGAAAGTTTGATTTGTCATTGTCTATCTGATGAGCATGCCACTTTTCTCAATTTCCGTCTCATCCGAGGATCCCATTTCACCCTACAGAATGCTTTGCTTTGCTCCACTCTAGAAGTTTACAGCAGGTTGAATGAAACATGAAGTTTGAGATGAGACCGGAGAGATAGCTGAGGGGTTAATGAGTAACCATTGCTCTTGCACTGCACCCATGGTGGGCAGTATACAACCTCGGTAGCTCCAGTTCCAGGGGATCTGGTACCCTCTTCTGGCCTGTTTAGACACTACATACTCATGCAAAAACCCACACTCATACACACAAGCAGGCACAAGAATTAAAAATAAATCTTAAAGAAGTCAGGAACAGATGGAGCCATGCTTTGGGGTGTATACTTTTCCCTAGACTCTCAGTTCCTGACCCACACTACAGTCCTACCAGATGCTCAACAACATTGACCTGCTTATTACCATATCCATAAGCTACACCAGAAGGTGGCCTTATAAATCCTTAAGAAAGCTGAAATCAGTTTACCTAGAGGTTCTGTTCAGTCTCTCTCTCTCTCTCTCTCTCTCTCTCTCTCTCTCTCTCTCTCTC